ATTGCTACTTCTCATTTTTCCAGATAAAAACAAGAACCAAAAAGAATTGAAATGTATTTTACACCAGTGAGTGGAATATATAATAAATACCAAGTATGTCAAACTGGTTAATAAAGGTGTTCAATCTTTAAAAGACAAGAAAGAAAACTAGAACCACAGTAAGTAAACCATATGAATTTTAATTGGAATTTATAAATTAATTCTAAGATAATTGACAACTTAAAGCCGTCAGTTCTTAGTCACATATCCAGTCTTTGATGAAATGTAACAGAGCTCTCAGTCCCCATCGCTGGCAAGATCCAGGAGGATCTCTGAGATGAGGGTCTCATCTTTGACAGTCAAGCAAGGATGAACTATATGTTTGATTCAAAGGCGAAATGTCTCAGACGCTTGGGACTGAAACATTCCAAAGGACTTGGGACTCTGCCTCACAGATGTTTTGATTCATTATTTTAGCTAAGCTCCCAGATAAACTTTCTTTGTAAATGTAAACAGCAAAAAAATTAAGTTACTGTGATTGTACTTACCACTTCTCTTCCTTAAATTTTGTGGGAATGGTGTGAATTACAGACACCCCTGATAAGTGTTGCTGGAGAAAAGAATCCACAAAGATTTAATAGTTTTCACAAAATCAAGACATTAATCGACAGCTTCAACCATAAGTCTACTGATAGTAGACTCTCTCTCTCTCTTTTTTTCCCTTTTTTTTCAACAGTGATGATTATCCAACCCAGGGCCTTGTGCATGCTAGCCAAGTGATCTACGGGTGAGCTATGCTCACAGCCTCCTTAAATCATAGACCTCCTTGTGTACAAAAATGACGATTTCACGTGGCTTCACTTAGTGGATACTGACAGCCCCTTTGGGTGTGCATGTTTCATTTACACAGTGTCTGATAACTTTGTACCTCTCACAGCTTTTCTGGTCAGGGCATATAGAAAAACAATTAAGGTTTTATTTCCATAAGTGTTTGAGAGATTAGCATAAATATTGCTTTTAAAATGAAGGAAAATCGATGTTTATAGGAGTTCTTAATAGAGACTAAACTCTTCATCAGATGCAACATTTACTTCAAGAAAGAATGCTTGCCTGTAATTTATCTGCCTAAATAAGCTTTTGAAAGTATGGAACTCACTCTCAGTTCAGTGGCTCTCCCAATTTCAAGTCCATCTATAAACACTTAGCTCAATATTCCAAGCTTCTCACTGATCCTCGGGCCCTGTCTCCTAGTCTGTCTCCCTTTCATTCCAAATCAAGATTTATTCATTCTCTGCAGACAGTGGAGAAAATCCAGCCCCACAGTGCTTCCTGAGGCACCTACCATGATTGGCTATCTATTAAATTCTGCTTATGCATGTGTCTTGTTTTCCTGGTGAGGCTTCTAACTTTAGTGTATCACCATTCACCCAACTAGGAGCTATCTGGGCAGTAAACATCTTGGTAACTAAAGTAGGCAAAGTATTTTAGCTGACTTTTCCAGTTTCCAGTCCCCCTGGTCTGGAGATAGTTGAGATGAACATCACTCTTGAGTGGATGAGATGCTGAACTCCACTGTAGATGGTGCCACTGCCTGGTGTCCTAGAAAGACTGCTACCGAGCACAATTGCCCAGAAACACTACCATATGACAGCCACATCCCGATTTTTGTACCTCAGTTTTCTTTCTTTTTCACCCACAGGACGTGACTTTGGCTAAGTGTTTTGTGCAGTCACGATGGGAGATGCTTTTTCCCAGGCCAAATGAAGCCTTGATTCAGGAGAGTATACCCACTGTCAGCAAAGCCCTGAGGAATCTTTTCATAGTCAGAAAAATGAAAATAAAAGTACAAACAGGAAGAAAAGTGACAAAATGTTCTCATATTTTCTTAGACAGTGTTTCTTTGCGGTTGATGTTTTCATGTTACATTGGTCCTGAAGATTCTAAATCATGCTCACAGCAGTTTGCCCTATTATCTTCCTTTGGAGTTTTAACAAATTTATTAAATAGAACTTGCTCATATTTAGGGTGCTTTACCTAAAGTCTTACCTCTTCCTGGCTTTAATTGGATAAAGCCCTTTAATATTTAATACAAATTTCTTGCATTGAAGCATAACTTAATCAAATGAGAATGGTTTGGCTACAGCATTCACACATATTAATGTTATCATTAATTTTCTTTTTTCTTATTATGTCTTAAAATATTTAGCGATAATACTTGTCCTCACATTTTGAAATCTTTTCAGATGTTTCTGAAATTCAGAGTAAACCCAGCAGATACATCTTTTCTCATTTGATGTATCATTTATTCCTTCATACTGTAGAAAATCATAAATAATGTGTATCCATTATTCACATAAGAGGAAGTTGTAAGGTTCTTACTTAAAGATGTTATATTGCCCAGGCAATAATATTATTTTATTTAATATTCAGAAGAACTATGGGCAAGAACTACTGTTTTTGTATTTTATTATGTTTGTATGAGGTTATAATTTGATAACTGTTTTGTTTTTTCCAGAAACAGAATAGAAGTAAAAACCTGTAAATTAAAAATACATGAAAGGTTCCAAGTATCAATTTTATTTTCAAATTCCCTTCTATCCATCAATGACTGACTGCAAAGCAGTATCTTCTACTCTGCATACCTTTTAATCTTGTTGTTTAGAGAATTGTTTTCTCTTTTTTTTCCCCTCACTTTTCGATTTTTTTCTGAATCCTACTCTTCAGAAGGAAACCAGAAGTGTGACAGAAAGGTGTGATTTTTAATTTACACCAAAGTCTCGCAAATAATGACTTTTCACACCCTGCTATTGCTGCTTAGCCTAGGGGAAGAGTTGTGTGGCTACTGTTTGTCATAGCAAATTAAATCCACTGCTGTAATTCAAAAGACGGTCTTCTATATTTAACCCTTATTTTCAAATTTTCAACTCAGTGTTTGTGAATTCTTATGAGTATGTGGCTTATTACTTTGAAGTATATTTGTTCCCTAGGAAATTATTTTTGAAGGCTGTTATTGTGAGATTGTCAAGTATGAAAATAAACATTTTTTCCCATTCTGTCTTTTCATCACGATGTTGGTAATTGTAACTTACTTCGATAGACAAAAATGAAAAATACAAGAATACTTATTTTTAGAACTTCTAGCAATAAAATTTAAATCCCTTGTCTAATAAATATTTTTATCTTTCCTTGTGATTTCATTCCACCAAGAATAGCTTTTTCCTGTCTTTATGTAGTCAGTATTATACTATACAAGTAAACAGGAGGATTTATATTTAAAGTCAAAATAGCATATAATGTTAAAAGATTAAAGTGTTTGAGTTTTCCAGTTTCTACCCAAGCACTTAGAAGTCCCTTTGGTTGAACTATAAAGTTTATATCTGTTTTTTATGTCATATATGCTTATATATGTAAGGAAATAGGAAAAAAATCATGGAAATTGGTATTGAAGTTGGTAGACTAGGTGTTTGCTGAATAGCAGCATCCAAAAATAACCGACTTGTGAGCTGTGGGAGTAGCTCAAATGGTAGAGCATCTGCCTACCAAGCAGGAAGTCCTGAGTTCAAACCCCAGTACCGCCAAGATTAAAAAAAAAAAAAATGAACATACCATGCAAACTCTGTGTGTGCTTGTTTCACTTAGACAATTACTAACATATTTAAATATTTTCCAATTTTGAATCTGCCCAACTAAGTAAAAAAAATTAATCAATATTGCTAGTTTATCTTACTAATCATAATAGTGTTCAAAAAAGTTCTACAATTGAGTGGAATATGAAAGAATAATGTTTAAGGAAGTTTTACCAGAAAAATGGTCTTAAAAGTTACCTCTGTGCTTATGTCTGGCAGGAGAATTCAAGCAAGACACAAAGATTCAGTGAAAGTAACTGTAAAGTTTATTAGGAAAAGAATACACTTTCAACAGACTAAAAGCAATTTGTCTCTAGAGTGTGAGCAATAGGGTCAGGGAGCAGGAGGAGAGAGAGAGAGAAAGAGAGAGAGAGAGAGAGAGAGAGAGAGAGAGAGAGAGAGAGAGAGAGAGAGAGAAAGAGAGAGAAATACCCTGTTCTCTGTGCAGGAAATGGGAGTAGACTCAAAATGGTGGTCTCCATGCCTAGTCCTGTACTGGAGAGCTGAGTGGGTGAGATGGCTGTTAAAACAGGGAGAGCTCATCCTCCCAAATCACACACCCACATCCCACCCAAATCATAGACAATAGGATGCTTTAGAACTTCCCTTTCATTTCTCCTTACTCATCCAAGGATCCTTGCAGCTTGTTAAACTCTCAAACTGTAAAGCAGAAGCAGGTAGCTCCTCTTTGTCTCCCTGTTTCTGTAACTCAGCATCTAAAAGGAGATAAGGGGGATAGCTGTTTTGGCTGTCCTTGTTCCAATGTCAGAGTCTGGCCTTTAAATATTTATTAAAATAATATCCCTGTCTCCTCTTGTGGCTGCCACTTATGTCTAACTGCTACCTATCATTAGAACAGACACATTCAGAGTCTTCTGAGAAAGTTGGCTTCTACTTTCCTCTTCTTGCTAAACCAGAGCTATGAAAAGTAGTTAAAACTCTCCTAGCTGAGAGCAGTAAAGGGTTAACCCATGCTGGTTTACTAAGTATCTCTGTCAGGCTTTTAGCTGATCCTTTCTCCCTTTCTCCTCTGCCCACCCCTTTTGTAAATGTCAACCACTTCCTGATGATTTCACACCTTTCTTTTCTTTGTGAAGAAACCTGGGTGTTAATGGTACAGGATTGGGCACCATTGTAGGCTCTGGCTCTCTGTGAATAAAGCTGAGGGATGCCAGTGGAAAAAAAGTAGGAGAAGATGAAGAAATTTAAGAAATGAGATGAGGCAATAGTGGAAATCAGTTTGTTTTGCTTTTTTTTTTTAATGAGTATTTTATTAGAAACTTTTAAATGTGAACTATAAAAATATTGATTTTTAAATATCTATGTGTTGAGAGTCAAAAGGTGTTTAGCAGAGGATAGAGCTGATTGTTTTTCAAAAATCAAAGAACAATAAAAAAAAAATACACTAGTGAATCGTTCTCTGACCTTTTACTCTGCAGGTGTGTCATTTACAAGCAACAGCAATGGAAACCTGGTCAGTTGATCAAGTCTGCAGTTGGTTGGTGGAGAAAAACTTAGGAGACCTAATTCCTAGGTTTCAAGGTGAGTTGTTTTTACTTCAAAAATGTTATTTCAGCAGCCTAGATCCTGTGACTCTCCTCTGGTAGCAATGTTACTTTTGTGCTTACTGTTTGTGTATGTGAACATGCATGTGAAATTGTTGGAACAAAAAACTTTTCATTTCTTTATTGCCCGGTAGAGTTTATTTTACCTAGTATCTGCTGGAGAATATAATATTTCAAGAATTCAACGTCTTCAAGGTTATCCAAAACACACATTTGATACACCCATTTTATTGCTTCTGCCTTGAAGAATCCAGGTTGTGTTTTATTCAATGGTGGATTTATAAGTGGCATGTATTGACTAGGTGGTATTAATGAGAATAAATTCTCAAGAAGTTTTTTTTTTTGGCCTTATAAAAACAACTGAATGGGGGAGGGCATTAATGTGTAAACAAAAAGGTTTTTTTTGTGACTCCCTATTTCTGGTACATTGTAGCAGCAGACATTAATTTGAAATTATGCAATATTAGCGTTCTATCTATGTCAAAATACCAATAATTTTGTGACGGCTAGAAGACAAGTTTTAACACCAGAAATAGTTTTACCTGTTTAGGGTGCCTGTGTTTCACTGGGAAGCCATGTAGAAATTACTCTTTTTTTTTCTTTTTCCCAGAGGAAGAAGTAAGTGGAGCTGCTCTTCTAGCACTCAATGATCGGATGGTTCAGCAACTGGTAAAGAAAATTGGGCACCAGGCTGTTTTGATGGATTTAATTAAAAAATACAAGCAGAACAGTCAAAGACAGTCTTCTGGAAGCTCCAGAGAGACAGCCCTGCTCACCCGAACTGAGGCAGCCCGAGAGTGAGTGTGCTCAGGATAGCCTTAGTTTTTACTTTCTGCACTCCCAAGGGTGGTTGGAGCATCACAGTTGGAATTTAAAACTCTTTGAAAACTGTAACCATTTTCAGTTGGATTGTTTGTACAAGTATTTCTAATATCTGAGTAGAGGGCACTCTTTTCAAAATTGTATGAATTAAGATACATTGTTTTATATATTGTTTTAAGTATTGACCCCAATTATTAGGGAAGTCCTATCAGCAGGGAGTTCCTATGTAAAATGTTGTGGAACAAGTAATGGGGGTGAATGTTCAGAAAAGGAAATGTACTTCTGCAGCTCAGGTTTTGCATTCAAAACATTCACAGATACGTGACTGCTCCTTTGTTTTCTCCAAAACTTGTTTATTTATTATTTATGTTTTTATCTGCTTAGGACTCCCTATAGAAAGTCATCTCTGCTCTCCTCTCTAGGCCTTCATGATATAATTTGCTAACCACCTCTGCCAGAGTGAGTTTCTCGGTCCTGTAACAGTTATCCTTAGAATAATGAATGTTGATAGCGCTCCACAGTAATCATATGGAAAAATTCGTGGTGTTAGATAAAAGCTTTGAGGTTTGGAAATAGTTTTATTTGTTTGTATTTTACCACCAACTTCTGCAAGGAATGGGAATGATAACAGTATTCATCAAATTAAAAATCTCATTTTACAAATCCCATTAAAAATCCTTGCATAAAAATACTATTTAATTAAATCCTTGCAGGATCTTATTAGACATTCTGATCTGATGTTTCCGTAGTCAAGACCTTTTGCAAGATTTAAGGTTAAGTATTTGTTATGGGCTAATTATTCATTCCTTTAAAAATAAGACTGTGATGTTTAATCATAACCATTCTATTTTTACCTTTTTTTGAAACTGTAGCTGGAATAATGTGTATTTTCTCTTTGATAAGGAATACATTGCCTTAAGTAATTTGATGTCTGACATCAAATATTTGGGACATGGTACAGTGAGGGCAGGTAGCCAAGAAGGGCTAGTCTTCTACTGAAATGGAAATTCTTCCAGTTGAACCATTTCTCCTAAACACTGTTTTGACATAGCCATGGACATGTGACTTTTGTGAAGTTCCCATTGTAAGTTTTTACTCCTTTCTAGTAAAATGAGGGTGTGAACTTCAAAGACATTGCAAAGTAATTTCCGGGCATTTTTGGATGACTAGAACTCGCTGGCTGGAAGTCCCTCTTAGTTGACTGGAATCTTGATGTTGCCTTGGGCACAGCTTAAAGAAACAGGCAGCTTGTTTCCACTACAAATCAGTTTATAATGTTCACTAGTAAATGAAAACTGTCTGGACTGCCAGAAATCTGGGCTTCATTCCTCGTTCTACCACTGACTTGGATGGATTAAATGTTGGCATTCCTGTTTCTTCATCTGCGCATTGTGTAAGCAATATAGTACCTACCTCCTTGTTAATGCACACTGATGTTAGGAGTATCATAGTCTTTAAGCAAATCTCACCTCCCTCTCTTAGACCAAAATAAGCCTTTGTTATTGATGAAGCTGGTTAAGAAAAATAGTTCCAAATATACCCAAGGCTGGGAACACTGGTTGTACAGTTTATGGATGGGAACTTGTCACTCTAGAAGCAAGCAGGTGACTAATTGTAAGGACAGTGTTGTCTTACATTTGGGTTAAATTATTCTGGTGCAAAATCATAATCACATGTGAGAGGACAATGCTTGTTGACTATATTTGCTTATTGTCACATATATTGTCACGTGAAAAATATACTGCCAACTGAGAATGATTGTAGAGAGGTGTAAAATATACTATTTAATTGAATCCTTGTAGAAAATGCTTGATAAAGGCAGGAGTCTTAGTATAAGAAAGAAACCTGAAGCTAAGTATCAAAGCACCTGATTCAAATGTCTATTATATTTGCCACTCATGTAACCTGGACATTTGTTTGAACTTTAAGCTTCAGCTTCTTCAACTACAAAATGAAGTAGATCGCATAAATGATGATTTTGGTCTTTCTTAATGGCATTTTAGATTAGATTAGATTAGAGACAGAAGACAGGTTTCAACTTGGGTAAAATCCCATCCAATGGTCAATAGTTGCCTGGTATGTTATTTTGCAAAGAATTTTTGGTTCATATCTGGATAGGATACTTGACAGTCAATTCACAACTAAGCAAATGATAGGAATATGCAGTTGGCGGGAGTGTTTGCACCTACTTTGTAGTTGTTCTTGTGAATTTGGTAGAAAAATGGAGAGACAGGAAATCAGGAAAACCAAGAATGAATTCTGCCATTACCTGCTGAGCAGCCTGTAACCAGGAGTAAGTTAACTTCCCTTCAGGGCTTCAGTTGGAAAATAAGGGAGTGTTCTAAGATGAAAAGATTTTGTAGGTAATAAATGTTCCTCCAAAGCAGCAGGAGTGGAGGAGGGATCTGGCGCAGCTGACCATTTTAGTTTGTTAAATAAGAATATTAACTAAGAAAGGTATTTTCCATTATCACCATTTCATAAAGGGAATGATAATCTTAACACCATTTAAAAAGATGCCAGAGTGGTGAAAAGAGCATCATGAATGGCATCAATCTACTTCCTAGCATATAGGAACCTTTTAGTTCTTTTAGTCATGACTCACATGTGAACTTGGACATGGATGCCAACCATAGTGCTTACTGTGGGCTAACCTCCATGCTCAGAGTCACTGTGAGATCAATGGTTATGGTTCCTATTAAGGTGCTCTGAGCCAAATCCGCTGTTTTGGTTACAGGGATGAACAGCCCTCTAGTCCAGCTATCTGTGAAGATCAGATACCATCTTTCCATCCAGCTGAAAATCATGACAATGGGCTAACTGACAAAAGAGTATTGAAACGGAGGTAAGGTGTCAACTTTAAGATATTTTAAAGCCAGATGATAATATTTTTCTCTATTTTTAATGAAATTTCATATATTTAAATGCATTCTCGTTTGAAATTTTTTATTTTCTGGAAGAAAATTTTTGTGTGTGTTTGTGTGTGTGTGTGTGTGTGTGTGTGTGTGTGAAGTGCTAAAGTATTCAGTAAGAGCTGAAAATTAAGTTTTCTGCTTTTCGTATTGAAAAAATAAAGTTTAAAAATGATGTTCACCTCTTTGAAATACACATTCTTCAGGAAAAAAAAGAATATTTCTCCTTCATTATCTTCCCAGCATATTCTGCAGTGGGCACAAAAGGATGGAATTTATTCCATGAATAAAGTTCTATAGAATATGCCTTGTTTTGAATTTTAACTGTTCCAAGCAGAAGCGCTGTTTTGGTTCCTTTGTGTTCCATTACTGTATTTTTATGGTGTAATATAGTTCAGTGTCTGTGTTCCATTGAAACAAAGGAAAACTGTAGACCTAGAGAACCACATGTAGGAATGTGGTGATTAGACAAAGCCAGTGGCGGGGAATCATAGATAAGAGTTTCAGCCACCTCCTGAGCCTTTTATGGCCACCAGGACCAGGAGATCTATGCATCCATCACATGTGGTACATATCATCTCCAGTCACCATGGAGCAAATGCATTTCCTTAGGGATACCGTCATCCACAAGAGAGACTGTCAGCACACAGAGGTAGTAATCAGCAACAGCCAAGGAAGGAAGTAATCAGTTTTCACACACCTTCTACCCAATCATCTCACTCAGTGCCCATAGCAGTCCTGTAAGGACTTTTTTGTGAATGAGTGAAACAGATTTATAGAAGTAAGTGTTTTCTAGCTAGTTTTCCAAACACAGTTTCCCAGTGTTAGGGCCCAGGTCCCTTCATGCCATGACTCCTGTTTGGGATGGTGAGCAAGAAGGTGGAAGGAGGCATCCTAGGCAGGAAATCAGCTCCATTGGTTTTCCTGGCTTGAACCATGGTTCAGAAAATGCAAATAGGTTTTAAGGTGGCTTTCTTCTCTCCTTTCTGCCCACCAGTGCATTTTGATTGCTAGAACTTTTCTTTGAGTAGCTCCAGGTGGGTGAAGTAAGCCATGAGTTTTCAACTACCCACTCCAACATGCAAGCTGAATGCATCCACCTTCATTACTACTGAAGAATGAGTAGAGGAAGGGGGAATGATTAGTCCCATGGTTCTCATCCTAGAACCACAGTCTCAGATCCTCCTCTGCAAGACACGAATAATAGCCCTTTCTCATGGTGCTCTTATGAGCATTGCAATATACATGCCTGCCTGGTGCCGGGTGGAGTGGAAACACAGGGAAGGCTTATGCACAGCCATTTCTCCAGTTCACTTTCCGTAGGACTTACTTTCTCTCCCTACCTGCATGTCTTTTCTCTTTCTCAACTATCAGACTCCCATAATTGTGTTACCATCCTGGCAACACAAGAGTGTTATTTCTGTTTTTTTATATAACTGTGCTTCATCACATTTCTCATGCTTCATAGCACCTGACAAGGGGGAGCAAAAAAAAAAAAAAAAGAGTGGCTTAGAAAGTGGGAGAAATGCTGGAAGTGTGGCGTAAATCACAATTGGTGGAGTGCCTGTCTAGTAAACATGAAGTCCTGAGTTCAAACCCCAGTACCAGGAAAGAAGGAAGGAGGGAGGGAGGGAGGAAAGAGAAGGAAGGAAGGAAGGAAGGAGGGAAGGAAGAAAAAAGGAGAAAGAAAGAAAAAGGGAGAAAGAAGGAAGGAAAGAAATTGAGAGAAATGGAAATGTCTGGAAGTCATGCCCCCATATCTTTAGTTAGTCACAGATTCTCCAAAGCCATGGGCTTGTATATTTTACCACCTATTGCCCATCTCTACACAAGAACCTTAGAATTATTTCTAAAAATGAGCTTATCTTACCTGCCTTTGTATCCAATTATTTGAGCATAAGAAGTAAAATCCACTCAAATGTCAAGAAGAGTTTCTTGTAAAAAAAACATTTCACAGAATCCAAGGGCAGAGCACAGAAGTTTCCAAGGACCTGGTGTTAGAAGCCAGGGGGCTGAGCTATTCCTGCTTTTCTTGCAAGGTCATATGATTGTGATTGCCCTTTCCATCTCCATTTGTTTGCCTTATCTCTCTCCTTCCTGTGCATCTCCCTATGAGGATGGATTTATCCTACCGATCATGGTTACTCTGATGGCTGGCATACACCGCATGCCACAGCACCAATTCCAAAGGAAAATCTTCCTGAAAACAACATCAGTCCTCCCTGTCAACTGACCTAACCTTTCAGTTTCTTTGTTCATGTATCTGGGGGAGAGAAACAGCCCTATATGGGTTGGGTATCACCTCCTAGGCAGTTGGCTCTGTGAGACAAGGGATAGATAAGGGATTTCCATCTGGTCCTGTCCTTCACCCAGGGCTGTGAATTGGGGTGGGACAGAAGATTCTCTCTCTGCACAATATCCTATGTCAGTCAGCAGTTCTACCATCAGGCCATGTGAGTTAAAATCATTGGCGCCACCCTGGATCTTTTCCTCCTGCCCTTTGTTCAGGGCACTATGCATTCCACAGTTGTGCATTAAGGGCCCCTTGCATGACTCCTATGTCAGGCTATGTTTCTGCCTTCCTCACCAACCTGAGACCTGCTCATCCTTTAAGACTCTGCTCAAAATCCATCTCTCAAAAGCTTCCAGTGACATCAGGCAAAGTGAGGAGCCCTTATTTTCTATACAGTATCCTCTACATATCTCCTGCTCTGCTTGTAAAAATTGACAATGACTTTGATTAAAGTCTATATGCCCTCCTTGGACTGTAAGCACCATGAGGACAAAACCTATGCCTTTTTGCTGCTTTAAACTCAGCACTTAACTCAGCCTCTGGCACTTAGAGTTTCAATCATATTTTAAAAATTGAACTGAGGAGGCATAATCCAAAGAAAGACTGAATGTATATTTTCATGGGATAGGTTAAGTATTTAAATAACATCAATGTCATTTTAGACCAATGTCATTTGAGACAATCCATGATAAATATGTTGGTTTTTTTTAAGCAAAGCCAAACTTTAGGAGCTCAGAAACCATTCACTCATAACAGGCCAGAAAGCTGAAGGTGTTTGCCCACAGGACTTTTATGATCCCAACTGTTTTCAAGAGGTAGGAAGGGATGGCTTTGGGGTTCAGTTCCTGACTCCTCCATTTGCCCACCAAATGCTCTGTCTGTATCCACATGGAATGGAAATACCCACCATGGTATATGTAATCCATAAGATCCAATGGAATAACATATTAAAGTGCCTGGCAACCATCACCACATCATACATACTGGCAGTTACTATTCATGTGATTTTTTCCCCTCCTATGTTCTGTGAAAGGAACACTTTCCATCCATATTATTTGCAGACAAAAAGAAAAGGAAGCTTCTAGAGGCTGGAAACTCACCTGACTTTGGCTCTTGAAAAGTCTTTGGCAGTAGTGAAAATGAGGCATCCGTGTCCTGATGGGTGGATTTGGTGTCCCCAAAGGAACATTTTGGTGCTGTGGTGCCATGAAGTTTTTTTAGTGACAGGTGACTCTATGCTCTTTACTGAATGATGCCTTTCTGGATGCAAGGATCATTAGATCCCATCCTCATCATGTATTGATGATCCTTTGGGAATAGCTGTTTTGTTTTTTTTTCCTGCAGCAGTATTTCTTTTTTATCTCCCTCTTAGAAACTTTGCTTCTCTTTTAGTACCTAATAAGGCATGAAATCAGGTAAACTGGTAGAGGTTTCCTACCTGTTACTTTAAAGACACTTCACTTGAACTTTAAGTATATGTCTGCAGATGTTTTGCTTCTGCCTTGGGGCATAATTATAAATTAGTCATGATGTCATGTATATTTAAAAATCATTTCAATGATAATTTTTCCCTGGGTCTGGCTACTGCTATGAAATAATATAGAATAAGCTCATACTTCTGTCTCTACCCAGTAAGACAAATATGAATGGGTGTTCAGCACTTCAATGTGTTTTTTCCAGTCAGTTTCACACATGTAGCTCAGACTAGGGGCAACACATTTGTATGTGCATCCTAAGGCTCAATGAAATATGCCAGCCTAGTTAAAGCTCTCTAAGTACGAATTGCAAATAGACGAGTGATAAGTCTTCTCAGTAACATTTTCTTTAGTTCAGTGCTGGGGGTTGAACCCAGGGCTTCACATATACTAGGCAAGCACCCTACCATTGAGCTACACCCCTAACCTAAGATTGGCCTTTTCAATTCATACATATCTATGTCCTCTACTAGCCACGGGCTCTGGGAGGTGATGGTGTCAAGGACAAGTCTTACCATTGTAGTACCTGACACAGTAGATGATCAACTAATGTTCACAATATGAAGAAACAGGTCTATCAAGCATTTTCTTTGATCTCATCTCAATTGGGTCTAATCTGTAAGACCATAATAGAGAATGAAAAAACCTGGTGGAAAGACATCAGGTGAAAAGTACTTTCTTGAGACTCACTGCCACATATATGATGGTTCACTTACAGCTCTGTGAGGCAGATGGGCTACGAGAGGGGCAGATGTAGATATTAGACCAGAACACCAACCCAAGAATGGCCAGGTAAGTCAGAGGAGGCAGGATAAGCAAGTAGATAAAAGCTTAATTTTGAATCCTACCTTTGCTATGCACTAGTTGACTCTCCAACCCCAGTTGACCTCACTTTCCATCTGTAAAATGAAAAGAACAGTGAATCAACATATAAAAATTTCTTAGGGCCTAATACACAATAGGAGTTCATAAATTTTAGCTATTCTTTTCATTATCCAATCACCAAAGCACAGGGTCCAACAAGACTCAAAAATTTTTGTTCTCGGTTCTAACAAGTGCCTCCAGTGTAGAAAAACAGGGTTTGCGCCAGGAACTGCAGGCAGCCAGCAGGGCCCGGAAGCCCTCCCAGGGCTTAGGCTCCAGGCCAGAAGAGGAGATGCTTCAG